TTGCTATAAATATGTATAAATATATACCGGTATATATTTTGAACTTCTGGAGTGTGAACAAATATGTGTCTCCCCCGGGATTCGAACCAGGGACCTTCTCTACTGTCTACACAGACGCTTCAATGTTGATGATGAAGTCTATGGTAGGATTTATTGGGATTTCAAATCCAATTAAAGCATGTAATTCTTCACATGCGTTAAACTAATTCCTCCATGCGTATACGTATTTGGACAGCACTCCTTGATGCATGGAAAAATAACCGAGATCAATATCATACACCCTCTTCTTATAAGCAATTGACGTCAAGACAGGATCTCCGTAGAGATACTTTTTATAAATCAAAAACAATGAACTTATTATACGTTATTATACGTTATTATTACTATTATTATTATTATTATTATTATTATTATTATTATTATTATTATTATTAGTATTATTATTATTATTATTATTATTATTATTATTTTTATTATTATTATTATTATTATTATTATTATTATTATTTAGGCTATTATATTATTATTATTATTATTATTATTATTAGTATTATTATTATTTATGCTTTTAATATGCTGTACGTGCAACATTTGCTACAGAGAACAGTCGTGTATTTTTAGGACTCAATAAGTAGGCATAATTATAGCTATAGGCCTAATATATGGCCTACTTAATAAATATTTGTGTATTCCTTACAAAATAACCGAGTACTTAAAATGGCTCCATAAATAGCCGTGTATTTCTCTTCACAGGTTTGTTCCGTGGAAATGGCGACTGGAAGTGGGTCACTGGTTTGCCGTTAAAATCAGAATATATTTCCAAGCTTAAACTTATGGAAGATAATATGTGTGCAGTCGTTGACTCAACAAGGAATATCAAATCATTCAATTGCTCAATTCCAATGCCATATGCTTGTGAAATTCAGAGAAGTAAACTACATAATTGTTTATTCAATGTTGATTTTACAAATTTTAAAAACGGAATCAAGAAGCATTATTATTATTATTATTATTATTATTATTATTAATTATTATTATTATTATTATTATTATGACTATAATATAATAGTAATAATATTTAATATGATGACGGCAGTAATGTGATAATTATTTTAACTATTTTGAATGTAGACACAGAATGTTTCAAGGAAAATAACGCACAAGACTACAGTGGTAAGCTGAGTATGTCAGCGAAAGGCCGCCAGTGTAATACGTGGAATGAGACGCAATACTCCCGTCGCCACAACTACTGCCGATATACACCTGGCCGGGAGCAACCGTGGTGTTTCGTAGACCATGGATCATCAACCACATGGGAACTTTGTTATGTAGGAGAACCACAGAAATTCTGCGAAAAAGGTAAACTTTTATGATTTCGACTGATATTAATCACCACCATCGTTATCATCATCATCATCATCATCATCATTAGTAACATTCAGTGGCGGATCCAGTGGGTTCGGACGAATATATGGGGTTTTTCTGGAGAAAAAAAAATTGAACCGCCTTGCTTCAAATCATGGATCCGCCCTGAGATTATCATCAACAACAACCTCTTCCTCACCATCATCCGTATTATTAACATAGACTGCATCATCAACATTATTGTTATTTAAATCATTCTCATAAGAATGATCGTTATGAACATCAACATTTGAATCAAAAGCATAATTAATATCACTATCACCTCATCACAATTATCATCATCATCATCACCATCATCTTTTATATTTGTGACTATTGTTTCAATATTGAGCCAAAAAAATATATATATATAAATACAATAATTTATTTCAGGCAGTGTGAGTATTGGGACCTGCAATGTTGGTCAGTGTCCGGTTGGCTCCATCTGCCACCCCGTCTCGCATGAGTGTATATGTCCACATGGATACGAAGGACTACACTGTGGTCGGCTGTGTGCTAACAAGAGATGGGGATATAAATGTTCCCGGGAATGCCCTTGTGGGGGAGACGCTGGAAACTGTGACCCGGTCACGGGAACTGCACGATGTAACGTTACTTCATGTTTGGTAGATCAGTCGAATACATGTACTCAAGCTAATTGTGGCATGCTGTGTTTGGAATATCTCGGGTGTCAATGTGATGTTGTCGGGGAGTGCATTTGCCCAGGTGAGGAGTAACCCAGAGACCATAGCTTACTCAATAATGCATAAATTTTCTTAAACTTTTCTACTCTTGGTCTAATATAATACTGATAATAATATTGCTTATAAAGTTTC